TTGTCTTTTAAAGAGGCCCTATTGTGCTTTTTTTTTCATGTAAATGGTCCGCAAAGGCTAAAATCCTAAAGTTCTCTCTTATTGGCATCCCCCAACGCCTCCATTGGACTCCTTTGTTTACTTCTGTTACATTAATTACATCTCTATGTAACCCTCACGCTACTATTGGCTAGCGCTCTAACACATTGTACGTGATAGGCTAAGGGGCGGAATATATCTAAGCTGTTGACCAAGCACAACAGAGCCGGCCAGCTAACCCATCAGAGCAGACTGGGCTCTGGTTTCAGACAGAGGGTGAAAAGAGGTGCTGCAGCACACGCAGTATGAGAAAAGAGCTTTTTGAACATTAAAGCATGGAGACACGTCACAGTAGAGACACTAAATACAGATATGAACCTGAAAATGTGCTTAATATGTCCTCTTTAAAATATACAGATCATATATTAAAATTTGACTTAAAAGTATTTGCACATGGAAAGTCCTTTTGATGTTTCCCGACTTTACTTTCTGTCAGGAGTTTTTTTTATTGAATATCAACACAATGTTTACATTCAATGTGTTTCAAGAACCGATTCCCCCAGCTCTGATGCAGCTGTTTATTGTCAATACTAAATTACAAAGTTCAATTGTGCTAGCTTGCAATATAATTCAGCCTTAGAGGGATGAAAACACAAACATCCCAGAACGGCGTGTACATAGGAGAAGATCAAGTCTGTAATAAACAAGATGTTCTGTACTATCGGCCCTTTCAATCTAATTACTTCAGCTTTGCAAAGGCAAATATATCATGACTGCTTTTTTCTGTAATCCAAAAAAGAGACAGGTTGGCATCTTGTGTATGTCTGCAAATAACAAAGAGATAATATACCCCAAAGTAATTAAATGCAAATATGTTTCATGGAAGCATTGCCCCTTCTGTCAGTGCCAGGCCAGCGCTGTGTGTGTGACTCTCAGAGTGGCACAAGTAATCACATCTTTTACTCAGGTAGAAGTACAGATACTCGTGTTTAAAAACACTCTGGTAAAAGTAGAAGTACTGACTAAACTTCTTTACTCAAGTAAAAGTAAAGAGGGCTTTGAAATGTACTTCAGTAAAAAGTACCCATAACTAGCAGCTGTTTTAAAGAGTACCTGACCTCCCTTTATATTAATAGAACAATAATGTAATTGTTAGCTAATGAATGTTTCCATGCTGAACAACGGCAACATGACAACGTTTTCATTGGTCCCTCTTCTTTAGAGAAGACCAGGAAATGATGGATACACGGATCGTGTTCAAATCAATAGGCACGCAATGAGTCTAATAGACTCATTGCGTGCCTATTGATTTGAACACGATCCGTGTATCCATCATTTCCTGGTCTTCTCTAAAGAAGAGGGACCAATGAAAACGTTGTCATGTTNTAGAGTGACAAGGGGCGTTATGTATGAATGCAGCATAAGTGCTCGAGTTGACTGCCTGAACTAGCTCGCAGGCTTCGCCCCATTAATGACATAATTTAAAGTAAAGTTACATTTGATGTACAGTGCCTTCGTATGTCCAATAGAAGCAGAGTCACTACTTCTGGTTGTTTTTTGATTGAGTAGGTTTCAGTTTAAGATTGGGACATTTAATCTGATATTATATATCAATGAATGAATGAATGACTACAGCTCCATGTGACTATTTTATTTACTGTGACATGATAGAATTCAAAGTAAACTGAGCACCAAATGTGGATCTCTCCCTCTGTCTCCCATGCACACAGACTCCGGAGCAAACCAGACATAGGAAACAGATTGTCTAAGATGGCAATGTGATAAACCGCACTACTGCCGAGGTGACTAAATCAAAGTGTGCTCTATTGGGGATTGTAGGCGAGTCACACAAGTCCATTAATCTGAAGATTTAGTTTAGCATGCGGTCCAACAGCCACCTCACGCAGACAGTGACTCAACAGAATATGCACTAAACAGTACGTATGTGTATAACACTGTTTATATAATAATAGACACTTTGGCTATTACGCATAGAAAGGCCAACCTTTAAGCTGGAAGTGGGTGACAAACTGCTTCGGCAGTGGCAGATTCTTTAAAAAAAACAACCTCCTGCTTTTGTCTTGCAGTCATAACTTAGCGCTAAGGTTTTCACAAGCTACATCGATCGATACTGAGGGGGACCATTTATCTGTGGTGGCATATCTGTGAGTCTGCTTTGGACACTGCAGCATCCCAGCCTGCATAAGCACCATTGATTCATGACGATAATGAGCTCTGGTCTGGGAGAGGAGAACACGGGAAAGGAAGGGAACGATGAGTAGAAGAAGGGAAACAGCATGAGCAGAGGAAGGATGAAAATGTGTGGTCCTGGCCAGCTGTTAGGCAAGCAGCTGTTTGAGGAGCAAAGCGAGTGAACCAGCACATGTACAAACAAACAAACAGCCACAATTAGGGGGGAAAAATGCAAGTAAGCACACTTACTCCATTGGGGGGGTAGGACGTCCAGCCAAGCTCTGCCTGAGTCTCTTTAGAATTCAGCAGCACCACTGCAGGAAAAGACAAACAGAGAAGACCAGAGGTTAATTTAGGAGGGATTATAGAGGTGGTTTGCATTTATTTCATTTTGTCAATAGAAATAAAAAGGTCACAGTGACGACAAAGCACGATAAAAACTCGGAAAGGAAGAGCAGAATTAAATGTACATGTCTGACAATGTAAGCCGTTATATTTGAAGCCATTAACACTGAGGCAGGCCTGTCGAAATCTGGTGAGGGTGAATGTTTCCTTTGATAAGTGCATTTACACCATCTGTTGAGGACTTAAGCTGGACAAAGAGCTTTCCATCATCCGCTGGCTATAGTAGTAAAAACACAACAGAGGCTGCTGTTCGCTTTCCCTCAAGCTGTGGAGAGTCCACTGCTCTTAACCCAGGTTTGTGTCATGGGTTTTACTTTCAGCACCATGGACAGGGAGCAAGAAAGGGTTTGTTTTCAGCACCTTGGACAGCTCCTCAAATATAGTAGGACAGGGGTTTTCAAAGTGTGGGAAGGTGAGCCTCCCCTCAGAGAACATAAGAACAGCCACGCCCCCCCTCCAAATTATTATTGCTGTTATTATTGTTGTTGTTGCTATAATGCAGGGGTATTCAATTGCATTTCAAAGAGGTCCAGTAAGAGAAGATGTCATTAAATGCTCTGCTTTCGCTGTCTACCTTCCGCCATTTGAAATTACTCAGACTGTTTCTCTCCTCTTGTCTCGTCTCTGTGTGTGTGTTTGAATCTATCGTGCTGACTGCACCGATTTGATTGGCTGAGTAGCGTCACCTCCTTAAAACATTAAACAATAACTTTTTTAAACCTTTTTATTTTTAGTGTTTTAAGGCACAC